ATATTTGTAACTTCATACGTGATGCATTTAATATAAGAAAATCTGTGTGACTATATATTTTTTACTGTATGTATGACTTGCGCCACATGTGGTTTTTGTCAAATTAAATAAAATAAATAAAAAATTAATAAAACGCTTATCCACTGGTTGTGAGTGGTATAGCAATACAAGTAATGACTCTTTAAAAAAGAAAAATTATGAGCTGAAGGAATCGATTACTGATCTCCGGAATAGATCAATGAGAGACAATTTAGTTTTTTTGTGGTATCCCTGAAAAAAGATTGTGGACTCAACGTGGAACCACGACAGGTTCAAACCATGCGAACAGTGTCAGTGATCCATACAAAAAATTCCTTTACAATAGACCAGTTTTCTCCATTAAGGACAACGCCGGAGGCCAGAACAGACAGCAAATTGTGAAATAAAGCTTTTGTCATTAAATGTATGTGGTGCAAATAGAAGACTTCAATATACCGAATTTACTGAAATTTCATTTCTTCCTATGACATAATTGGTTTAACCGAAACTAAAACAGATGCTACTGATAAATTGCAAATACCTGGATTTTCTATTTAAAAAAAAAAAAAAAAAAAAAAAAAAAAAGACAAATTATCTAGATTAAAGTCAGAATATATAGAATTATATTCAAGATATGGCAACGATAATTTGTAAGCGACATAAAAAATTCTTAATTGGGCATGTTTTTGTAGAATGACTGTTAAGAGATCTCAAAGTATAGCATATTTACATGTGTATTTAAATATATCGGTATCAATATATTTTACTAAATTTTAGTAATAAAAAATTACGTTTTTGAACAGTATCACTTAGGTTTGTAACATATGGAATAATATTCAAGCATTGTATGTGTTTGCTTTGAAGGAAAGCGTTACCTTTACTGGAAATACAGGATCTACTTTAGGTTAGTTGTTCTATAAATGTTTAGAAAGGCAGACTATAGAAGGAAAGAGAAGATAACGAGCAAAGATCATGCTAAAAAGTCCAATTAAATAATACAAATTACATTCCCTGTCTCACTAAAAAGATAAATCCAGAAACAGCGCATTTCTGTGTGCAATTTAAATATACTTTTTTCAATGGTAGGCACCGTAGCTCTCTGGTTGTTCATCCCAATTTTTTCAGATCAGGCAGCTACTGATCTTTAGCTCTTGTCACACCCGCTGTGTGCTCCAGTGTCATGAGCAAAGTTCAAGGATTGTACATCAGACCAGTTTAATTAAGGAATGTTTTTAAGTTTTGTGTGAATTATCGGTGTGTAAATCACACAGACTTGTCACGTAGGCATATTTCATGAAGCGCGCTAGTGCTTTATCACAAGTAATTTTTGATAAAAACAATTTTAGTGACATGTTTTACCTGACCTTAAAATATACTTTTAATCAATTGTAATTACTTTAAACAACATTAAAGACTTTAATTATGCTAATTACCATTAACTCAAATTGTGTCAATTCAATCGATTTACTCAACATGTCATGAGTTATTCTATCTAAGCCATCTGTCACTCATGCTCAGAACTGTGCTAATTGTTATTGTTATATTTTATTATTTATATGTTACATGCAACATTGTTAATCAGTAAAGTCCTAGGCTTCGGATTGTTGGATTTCCAGAATTCGCCCTACCGACCTAAGTCATAATAAAGTGCTATTCCATCGTTAGCATTTTTATGTTTCATTGTTGCCGGAAAGTTTTTACACTTATTTTCCCCGGTGATAGCTTCATGAAAAATATGCCTACGCGCGCGTCTGTGTGATTTACACACCAATAATTCACACTAAACTTAAAAAAACATTCCTTATATTTACATTTTACACGTTTAAAAGCATAAAAAATATACTCATTGTTTGAATGTCCTATATCGTTACATTTTTATTTACGTCTCTGTAGCCTCATTGTGACGTCACTTTAGCGTGAGTTTCACCGTGTATATTTCTGCGCGTGAGTATACACAAAAATGACTTTCAAATCAGTTTCACATTAGCAGAAAAACACAGCAAATGTAAATATACAGTCATAATCATTATAATCTTGTAATTTATTGACAGTTTTCAAAATATCTGAAAAGATATAAACATCAGAAATTGTTTTATCAGCAGTTGAAGTCAGTGATATCCAATAGACTGAACAAGAAAGGAAACACCATCATCAGGTATGTTGTATAAAATCCTGGTACCTTATTTTGGGGGGAGGAAACCTGTTAATGACCCTCTCTACACTGATGAAAAATGTTTTTTCGACTTTAAAAAATTATATAGCGTAAAGGGGGATATTTTGAAATTAACTTTTTTGTTATTTTAAATACATGTATAGGGAGGGTGGATTTTTTTACCCAAGAAAAATCTTCGAAGACAATGAAGTAATTATAAAGAAAAACCCAAATGGAGAAAATACATGCAAATAAAGTATTTAACTATTCTATCTTAGTCTAATATAATGTTTAGATTTGGATTCATATTAAATTATGTCATACACTGCAGATAACAAGTTGTTGTATTTTATGTCAAATGGTTGGTCAGTCGAAATTCACAAAAGTACCCTGAAATTAGGGTGCAGTGTACATTGTATAAGGTCCTTAAAGGGGCCTGAACACAGATTTGAAGTTAATACATGTATATTCTCAATTTTTCTGTATAACTTATATGTTGCTTTAGCATTTCACACGGAAATATAATAGAAGCGTGTTCAGAAACTTCTTTTATCTGGAAATTATTGAAACTACGAATCTAGGGACGCGTTTGATTGACACATCCGTGCACTTTCACAAAGTAAACTTTATCCTTAATACTTAAGAAACGTAGAAATTTTGTTGTGTATTAATGAAAAATATTAAAACTATAATCCAGAAAATTCAGAGTAGAAATGTGAGAAAGCAAAACCAACTCACCAATATATTCACTCCCTGCTCAGTGATGTGTTCAGAGTTTAACAAATTGAATACATCCGGGAAAACGTAAACATTAACAGAGATCCTGCCCTGTTTACAAAAACAGATGTTTGAGGAGATTTAAATAAAAATGTCGTTGTCATTGAATTCTTAGAATATTCATGTACGTTCAATTCATTTCATTTAACTCGTTTTATTTATTTATTTATTTACTTTCTTTGAATAAGCATTAAAATTTAAAATGGAAACAAGACAACTGTGTCCAGGCCTTTGGGAAAAACATTTATAAATATTTGAAGGAAAAAATAAATTAGTACGGGTGGGGCTCGAACCCACGCGGACATTCGTCCATTGGAACTTAAGTCCAACGCCTTAACCACTCGGCCACCGTACTTCAGAAACACGAAATCGTCTTATTTTGATAGTTCGTAACGTGTGCAAAGAGGCATAACTCTCTTAATTCACCTTAGATTTAAGCCTACAATAAAAAAAAATTATGTCGGATATCTAACACCTTATTACCTATGCACAAGTTAGTTTATCTGACATAATTTAACAAAGTTAATTTACTTATCCTCGTCCTCATTTCATTTTTTTTTTTTTGTCTAGAGTTTTTTTTCTCCCGGTTTGGGAGAGGGTGTGCCTTTATCAATAGAAGTATCGAACAGAAAAAAAAAATACACATGCATCTGCATCCATGGTTGAGAAAATTGATGAAAATGAGAACATTTTCTAAATCGATGCTTATTGCTAGTGAAATTATTTTTTCTTTCTTTATCTTTTTCGCTCGAGGGGATCTAGAATTTTAGAAACTTTTTTCCCGTAATTCAATCGTCCGATCCAGGCTTAGCAAAAATTTAAGTATATACTATATGTTTTCCCCCCTTTGTGGGGTCAATCAAAAGTTCAAAACGGAAAAACAATGTTTCTCTTCCTTACATTAGCCTACAAAACATTTTGGCGTGCTTTGATAAAAAGGTTTTCCTTCAATGCTTGGAAATCCCCATCGTGGGGGCATCAACAAACATCATGAACATGTACAAGACGATTTTTGTAAAATTAAAATGTAACCTGGTTTGCCCTGTGACTTGTGTAGTTGAACATGTGAAAAAGAGAGAACTGCTATCATTTACATTTTACACAGTTATAAACGTCACGTTAAATTTCTCTTTTTGAAATGTTACGTAGCTTTTAGCCCCACCCCGGCCCTTTTGTCTTATAAAGTAACTTCAATTTAAAAAAAAAAAATGTTCAAAATGAGTACGTATATATTCACTTCCATTTATAAAATTTTATCGTCGAATGATAATTTACGTTTCTAAAGGCTACATTTTTTTTTTAATTTTGCCGTTGTTTTTGTTGTTGTGTTTTTTTTTTTTATATTTTTGTTTAGATGAAACTTAAAAACTTATAGGTTTCATTTAATTCATGTACATTGTATTCATATTTAATTAATGTACATGTTGTATATTAATATATAATTGTTGATATCAGAATAGGGAATTTTCCCCTTCCTATATATGCCCAAAAATAGCCTATAGAATGTCTTCTTCTTTTTTTAATAACAGCATAAAGTTGTACTTAGAATGCATACATGTATCATTTATTTTCCATCCTACATTTTTTTTTAAAATTATATGTTTTAAGGTTAAAAATATAGAAAGGCAAAAAAAAAATATGCTTACACCAAAACATGAAATTTAAAAATGAAAGACGAAGAAAGAAAGACGACACAACCATATCTAAACGAATTTACTGCGGGATACACTAGACAATTATTTGTCTTGCTGGTACCCATTGTTGTATTTCCAGTGTATAAGATTCCCAATACCCGCTGAACTGTTTAAAAGGCCCCGGCTTAGATCACAATAGGCCGCAAATGAACTAGAACCATTTACACAAGTATACGACCGAGGACTTATAAATAAATTAAATATACGTAACCGACATACACTAGTTAGGGTGGGGTCTCGGTACAGGACAGAGCGCGCACCAGCTGATTTTGACTTTATTCAGTAAGAGCCCTTTTCTCTACCCTATCTGAGGTAGAAGTGATTGAGACATCAGAAACTGTGATTGGAGTTTGTATATGGAGAAGTTATTTTCTCTGGAAATTAAATCGATTTGTTAGGTGCAGAGCCCACTGGATCAAATTCTACCTTTAACTGAAGACTTTTCTGCTCTGGGACTTAAATCGATCTGATATCATGATGCTGTGAAAAGTGATTTGGAAGTAAATATATCACTAGATCATGGAGACATTAAAACTTCTATGTCTTATGCTATCAATTTATGTGGGAATTTCTGATGTTAAAGGTAAGATTGGACTACTGGTCCATTAAATATGCTTTCATAGGCTCTAAATGATCATTTAACAAGGATATTGTCAGGTGTTCTGAGGCTGAAAACCCTTAGAGCAATTATGTTCTTTGAGGTGGTAATAAAAATCTGTCATCTATATATTTAGCGGGTATTTAAACCTTCATGTATTACTCTTCTTAATTTGAGCTTCATTGAAAGATTTTCATTTACTTGAATAAATAAATGAAATACTTCCTTTTACGAACTAAAAGTTGAAATATACTTGTTCTAACAAGACATGCATTCAATCAATATACGATCGTGTACGATATTTTTAAATATTGAAGCCGGATGTATTTTACGTAATGATTTGCTGGAGTTCTAAATAAAACTGAAGACAAGGATAATTGCCAAGTTTCTCAATAAATATTTGTAAAAATGAGAGAAGCATATTATGAAATGACAGAATTGAGCACGCAATTGCATGTCAAAAAAGTAATAAAAAAATAATTATTGGAAGATCCTGAAATAAGAGTAATTGGAGAACAAACTCTCGTATTTCAATACTCAAGGAACTGTTTAAATAATTCGTTTAAAGTGGCACTTAATAATTTGATTCTTCGTCGATCATAAAGTGAATGGAAAATCAGAATGGCAGAGTGTATATGTATAATCATAAATTAAAAAGTAAGAAAAAGAACGAGGAAACTATATTGCATTTGCACCTTCCCCTGCACCCCCCCCCTCCCAATCCTAAAGAGTCACTCAATCATGTTCTCTCTGCTTAAAAAGGAGACAGGAAAGGCCCATTATTGTTATTTGATTAATTATTAAATAATTTGTACAATTGGAAGCAAAGTATTTCATGCATTTTATCGAACATATTGTTCTCAACCATTGATTTTTCAAAATATATTTTCTATCAAGCACAAATAATAAAAAATGGATAAAGCATGTTTTACATCTTTTCCTTTCACGAGACGCATGGGTTTAAACAGTTAAAACTCTCAGGGCAATATTAAAATAATATTTTGTGAAGAATATGTACCTTTATATCGGTAAGAACCATACTCGAAAGTACATCTGAAGGATGAAGGGGAATGAAAGAGGGGGATTTGGTTGGGGTTGGAGCTAGGCAAAAGAGCAGTGCACAATTTGTCGTAATTGACAAACATTAGAATTAATGCTAACATAATCCCAACGGAACGCGCCGTGCAATTCCTTAATACCTTTTTAAACATTAAATTCCACTCAGTCTAATCAATGTTCAGATTTTGATATCAGATAAACCTGAGAGCTGTACAAATAGTTAAAGCGATTAAATCCAGCTGTATTGCAAGTCAAATGAGATATAAACAAATAATTTAAAATCATTTCAACGATCGGCTGAGTTTGTTCAAAGTAAATATTGCTCTTCTATATACATTTGTAAATATTTTCCCCTTCCATTCCTGCATGGAAAGGGGGGGGGGGGGAATGATGTCAAATATGCATGGATTTCTAATATCTATAAAGAAATATACCTCCTTATATAATTGAAAAATCCCAAATAAAAATAGTCTTTACTTCTTTTTCAATTGAAGTTTTGAATAACATTATAATCATTTAAAATCTACATTAACTTAGGCGAAAGACAATGTTACAAGTATGCACGTAGCCATTAAATTAATGAAAAATAAAATCAGTTTATTCTTTTTCCCGAAAAAAGGTAAATCAAGGTTATAAATGATGAGTTCATGAAATTTAAACTTCAAGGATTAATATTGCGTTCAACGTTAAATCTGAAGTCGAGAAGCATTATGAATTTTTCACCAACGAGGTTTGTTGGTAGGAGATAAAAAACGACTCAAAGTCAATTCCATTTTCACGTTCTTTTAAATCTGAACAAAAGTTTGAGACAAAATTTCATTTCCTATTTCCTCGTTTCAATAGATCAGACAAACTTTCATATTGATTCAACGGATAAACAAATATTTAAATCTCAGACCTGGCTTTTGAGTAAACTGTATGATTAAAAAATGACCTTCACGATTCACTTGAATGACTGGCGTAATATTTTCACTTCAGTACTTATTTCTAATATTTGAAGACCTAATGCTAAATTTAGGGACAATTAATTTGTATCAACCCAACTAACTAATAGCCTTTTTTAACATGAATATATTGACTATTTATATATAGTTTTATCAAATGTTATACACCACTTTTTCTAAGTCCATTAACATCAACGCTTTTTAGATACACATGAAACAAGTATTCATTTAGTGATTAATATTTTTTTAACATCGGGTTCGATCCAATGCCTGCTGCTCTGGAAAATTCCATACATGTTACGATCGTACAGGCGACATGCACATTTTGCTCTTTAATCCTCTGCTTTATTTAAGACACCACAGAAAAGATCGAACCCTTCTTCTTTTATTTAAAATATATTTTATTCAAATCAATGAAATTGATTGAACAGCAGGCATAAATGCTAATGATCGTTCTCTCAATATACGTAGATTTATGGAGAGATATCCTACTTTAATTTAGAATGGATGCTCTCTCTCTCTCTCTCTCTTTCTCTCTCTCTGCTGATATTAAATTAAAGCAATGCTACATTTTCATTTAATTCAAGAAGTATTTAGAATTAATCTTATTCACCAGTAAATATTGCTTGTTACAACATTAAATATATACTTCAACTGAAAAAAGGAACCTCATCGCAAATATAACTTTAAACATTATGTAGGTCTGTTATTGATATTTTTTTTTTAAATTACGTTCATTCAATCTAAACTTGCGTAACTGGACTGTTATCAATGAGTATTGCAGCCTGCTTTTATGAATAAATTATAATCTTAAACAAGCAATGCTTATACGTCAATATTCCTGTTCTCCTCTGTTTTGTATCTTTAATAACTGTACTAATTATGTTCCCCAAACGAAGTTTGGGAACATATCGTTTTTACTCTGTTTCTTCTTCTTCTTCTTCTTCTTTTTCTACTTTCTTCTCCGGTACTTTTTTGTCCGGGAGTGTTCTCATAGAACCACTCATCCGATTGACATGAAACCTTTTTAGGGTTAATAGGCATGATGTGTAGGTGTTCGGAACGAAGGTCATTTTGCACGCACATGCATGCACGTGCGCGCGTGTGCAATGAGTGAAATGACTGATATACTAAATATAGCAATAACTTTTATATTTCTTGATGAATTGCTTTGAAACTCAGAACATAAAGATACATTAGTAGTCTAGACGAGATGACATAATCAAATTAGCATGATCTCACGCGCATGCACGTGCGCTCTTCTTTTGACAAAATACTTTGAAATATAAAATATAAGTATATATTATAAGGTGCTACAACATGTTATATAGGAAATGTCTTGAAAGCACGCGCATGCAGGTGTGCTAAAATCTGATTGGCTGAAACTTTAAATGTCTATAACTCCCTTGGTTTTCAACAAAACAGGAAGAAATTTATGACATGGATAGGCACATTGGGCCCCTACATTATGATACTACCAAACTTGAATGCAAGGCCATGCATGCGCGTATGCTGAATTCAGATTGGCTTATACTTAAAGGGTTACATCTCTCTTATTTTTCAATGAAATTCTTTGATACTTAACACAAATGTATATATTGTGAGACACTTAAAGAAAATTAATATGAAAAATGTAGAAAACATGTGCAAGGACATGCGTTGAAATTTGATTGGCTAATACCCATATGGCTATATCGGAGTGGTTTTCCAATAAAATACCCTTCAAAATAAAGTTTCCATCTATATTACAAAAGTATTGCGTAATTTAATGAAGCTTGTAGGGAATGGGGTATCATAAGGAATTGGGGAGCCGTTTGGGGAACATCTGTAACGGTTCCCGTTACAATTAGCACTAGTTCTAATTATGAAACAATTCATGCTGACCTTGGTGATTGTATGACCTTGAGGAATACGTAGATTTCCAGTGCAGGGTCTAGATATTTCTTTTGATTTGTTCCCTTTAGAGAATTTAAATGCAACGTGTTTAAAAATATTTCAGTGTTTCAAAAAATAAACGTGCCAAGATAGTAAAAATCAATCAAGTATCCCTTACCCACAAAAATGATAAGGAAAGTTAGAAGATAGTTTTCTTGGAGGAAAATTATTTATCCATGTAAATATTTATATGATACTTGTACATAATACATGTAGGAGAATATTCTTTTCACAATCCAATTAATATACACGTGTAGTCATCGATTTATACTTTTTTAAATCAAAATTTAGATTTTTTCCGACTTCAGAATAAAAAAAAAATCTATAAAATATAGTGTGCACGATCATATTTTCGATGGCATTCATTGTTTTAATGAAGTCAGCAAATTCATGTATTTGAGGCTCTTTTTGTATCGAAACAATGTAACGTGTATCAAATTTTAGAAATAGTTGATCATTTAAACAAAACATTTGTATATGGGTTATTGATCACAAACCTAATACTTAGAATTTTCAAATAGATTTTTTGAATAAAAAGAATTACAAAACAACAAATGCAGACATTCGGAGAGCTAGTAAATATCTTTAAAATGAACTACCCCTTTAAAGGCTCAAAACTGCAATTTTCGTGTTTACTGCAGTACTGCATATACAGTATGTAACGTAAGGCAAAAAACATTTACAAGTATATACAGGTAATAAATAAATGTACAGGAATGTACCAATATATAGCCTATGAAACTTGTAGTGTGGTGTTTTATACATGCACATGAACATGTATTATGCTTGATGTATAATGAATGTAAAATTTATTTATGTACATATGTCACCATATAAAAAATGAGTAACGTATAATGATGAATGAAGTCTAAAGACATGGAAAAATTACAGATTTTTCATTAACTATGAACATTTTATGAAAGCCCGTTGGATCCGGGAGGGGAAAACGTGTCCCATAAATTTTGCCAATGTATATCATACCCCTAAAAATACTATAGTTAACTATAGTTTACAAATCAAAGTTTTCATAGTGATCACTATAATAAA